GCAGTGGCGGCACAGATCCCAGGTGCCCGCGGGGGTGCTCAGCCCCGTTCCAGGTGTCTATGGGGTGCTCAACCCCTCCCAGGTTCCCGTCCGCGGGGTGCTCAGCCCCGTCCCAGGTGTGGACGGGGTGCTCAATCCCTCCCAGGTACCCGTCCGCGGGTTGCTCAGCTCCGTCCCAGGTGCCCATGGGGTGCTCAACTCCTTCCAGGTACCCGTCCGCTCCCAGGTACCCGTCCGCGAGGTGCTCAGTCCCGTCCCAGGTGCCCATGGGGTGCTCAACCCCTTCCAGGTACCTGTCCGCGGGGTGCTCAGTCCCCTCCCAGGTTCCCGTCCGCGGGGTGCTCAGCCCCGTCCCAGGTGCCCATGGGGTGCTCAACCCCTTCCAGGTACCTGCTTAGTCCCCTCCCAGGTGCCCGTCCGCGCGGTGCTCAGTCCCGTCCCCGGTGCCCACCCGCGGGGTGCTCGGCCCAATCCCAGGTGTCTGCGCGGTGCTTGGCGCTAGCGGTCGGCTCCGCGCGGCTCGGGCGGCTCCGTGAGGCCGGCCCTCAGGCGGGGCAGGGGCGCAATAAGTACCACTGAGGCAGCTCGGGACAGCCCCACCAGCGTCAGCGGCGCGGAGCCGCAGCCCGGGCGGGCACAGCGCGGGCTGCAGAGACATTTTCGTAGGACAGTTTACCTCAGCCTTCGCGCATGCGCAGCAGGACCCCGAGTTCTGGGGGACCCCTCGCCCCGCCACCGACCCAACCCTCCGCACTGTGTTCCCAGGAGTCGCCCGGCCGCCGTTAACTGGTCCGACAGGCGGAGAACCGATGTTCCCTCGTCGGAGGCCATGGTCAGACCCTGTCGCCTTACTAGCGTTGGGATCCAGAGGCTGTGACGAGCCAGGGGGGAGCCAGGTGTCCCCGAAGCCCCGCGGCCTCTACCGTAAAGATTTTGGCTTGGAGAGCAGGAAGGAGGAGTCGCCCTAGGGCGCCCCTTCGCGGGCCCGCGGAGGGTGGATGGGGCCGGCTCGGCGCGACGGTGGTGGCGGCGTCTCCTCACAGCCCTGGCGCCACGTCTGGGACGAAGATCTTGGGAAGGCAGCGAAAATGAAGCAGATCTTCTTGACTCAGGAAAAACGGCTTGGATGGCAGACACAAGATGAGCAGGTAATGGGAACCGTGAGCCTGGCTGGGGTGGCCAGGAGGGGAGAGGGCGTGGGGGGCATGGTCTTCCCAGGCCCGGCGGGGGAGCCCGCGCCCCGCTGTCGTCCAAGGTGCTGGGACTCCTTGCCCCCTGCAGGCTCCCCAGAAGTTGTGGTACCAGACAGTGGTTTGTGGTCACGCACTGGTGTAGCCTGGTGTTAGCTCCTTGGCCAGGCCTCAATACATAAATCAGCAGTGTGCCGCTTTTTAGACAAATAATACATTTAAAAGGCTATCTTTTTCATTCGTATCAATTCCATACAATTCAATAAAAATCTCCGTTGCTGAAAGCACTGAGATATTTATATTTCCAAAACTTAAGCAATTTTTTGAAGTCCCAAACTGGTAATAAAGGCAATAACCTTTAAGTTTTAGATGATTCTTCTGATCCATTTCAAATTTACCAATTTTTAAACCTCCGTGAAAATTAAATTCTCCATTTTCATACTCATTTAACATCCTTTTCTCATTTTTAAGAGGCTCTTAAATCTGCAGGAATGGACACAATAAGTCAAGTTTGTTTTTTTTTTTAGAGTAAATATTTAATGATTGTTTAAACAGGTGTTCTAGCATATAAATGAAACAAATCTATAAATTATGATCCTCTCTCATTTGTTTTAATCTAACATTGTTTGAAAACATTCTCATAAAATTAGAGTCTCAGATCAATAATATGGAAAAAATTTCTATGTCTCTCTTTACTGCCCATTTCTGAGATAATGCCATATCTCAATAATGGCCTGGGAATGAGCTTTGAAACTCTGGATAACTTCTGTGAGTTATTCTTCAACCATTCTGCCACTGCATGCTGTGCGGGACATTTCCCTGTCTAACCACAATATGCCACCTAATCTACATCTATCAGGAATATCACTGTACCTTGAACTTTCATGTTGTTTTAGCACATACAACCACATTTCCCTATGTAAAATGCTTAGTTTTCTCAAATAGATTGTTACACCACTGAGGATAGAGGGTAACTTATTTCATCTTGTACTTCTATATATTTCTGAGGTCCACAACAATGCCATGTATGGAAGAGGTGTCCAATAAAATGTTGGTTGATATCATTCTACTCCTTCAAAGGGACTTTTCCTGTTTTGGTTCAACTATGGCTGGTTCTCCATATGTGTCTGAGAAGACACAGGGAAACAACACTAAAGTAATACAAGTTTAATCAAAATTTCCTAAAATTAACCAATTTCTCAATCGGTAGAAAGGAAATGAGTCTGCTTTAGATTTTGCTGTATCAGATTTAAAAAACATGACAAAGAATTACTATTTCTAAACAGTAATTTAGAAGTTGTTTATTTGTATAGTAGTGTGTAATAAATATTGCAGATTTAAACATTTTGTCCAAATTTCCCCAAAATATGATAGTTTAAGCCTGGATTCTATGAGAAGCTGAAGATGAAAACCAAATACCCAAGTACATCCAAGAAAAATGTAGGTGAAGCTTTTGGAAACTGAAGACCCAAAAGTCTTATTCTTAATCTGTGACTTCCTTCCTATCAAGCTCTTATTCCTCAATTTTGAAAAAGGGATGGTGTTTCAACTTTCAGTCAAGGAATCTTTAAAAGTAATAAAGCTTTGAAGGTTATACAGGCAGACTAAATAAGTCTATGCTTCAGAATATTTTCCCCAAATATCATGTATATGGAAAACTGAGCAAAATAGTTCTTACAAGGAAAATTTTATTTTACTAATGATAATGGTGTCCTTTTAGACACAATTAAAATTTTTCCATGGCTGCTAATATTTCCACTTATTGATACCCGATTTTAGTTCTGTTCTTCATTGAACATGAAATTGGCATAGACGCATACAGATAATAGATATAAATCGGAGACACATATCACATTGTTTATTTATTTTTTCCTTTTGTGTGTGTGTGTGTGTGTGTTTTTTTTTTTTAGATGATCCTGCGGTGTGCCGGCTGGCCCGCCAGACAGAGCATCCAGGGCCAATTTACTTCTTTTAATCTCTATTTATTTATTTTTTGAGACAAAGTCTCACTCTGTTGCCCAGGCTAGTGTGCCTTGGCCTCAGCCTAGCTCACAGCAACCTCAAACTCCTGGGCTCAAGTGATCCTTCTGCCTCAGCCTCCCAAGTAGCTGGGACTACAGGCATGTGCCACCATGCCTGGCTAATTTTTTCGATATATTTTTAGTTTGCCAATTAATTTTTTTGTATTTTTAGTAGAGACGGGGTTTCGCTCTTGCTCAGGCTGGTTTTGAACTCCTGACGTTGAGCGATCCGCCCGCCTTGGCCTCCCAGAGTGCTAGGATTACAGGCGTGAGCCACCACGCTGGCCCAACATTGCTAAATTTTTAAAAGGAATAGAGTAAAATAATGTAATGAGTATTTGACTCGAAATTCTTCAAATGGTCTCTTCCTGAAAGGTAATTAAAAATGCTGACCCATGTTGCAGTAGTAATTGAGAGTAAGAGAGTTAAGATGACAGAAGACACATTTCATGACTCAAGTTGGAGACTTGAAATCATAAACAGACTTTGAGGTGCAAATTTAGAGAGAAATTTGGAGAGATCTAAACTTTTTTTTTTTAAAGACCTAATCTTCCATCTTATTTGTTGTTTAGGCTTTTGATTCAAGAAACCCAGAGACGTGAGAAAAAAATAACATTGTGCTTTTATTTTTTTCTAGTAAAATATACAACATTGATAACTTTTCTCATTAAATATACCTTTGTAATCATCCTGATTTACATGAGTGGTGCTAAATTACATGATTTACACGGTTTGACACAGGAAGGACGCATTTTTGAGGTATATAAGAAGAAAAGGGATGTGAGTGCTATAGAAATGTTAAATCAATACCCTAAAGCATATGTTTAAGATGTGAGTCATAAATCTGCTACTGTGACCAGAACAACCCATATGAACATGATTCTGAAGAACTTGACCAGTTGCTGTTAAAACTGGTCAAGATGTGGAGAGGGTGTGGGCTTGTTCCAGTTCACTCCACCAGCACTTCTAGGAAAAGTGTTGTGATGACATGAGAACAGTAGATGGTAGAGGTTCTGCTCAGCCTCGATGAGTAAAGTGGGGCTGCATAGTTAGCTGTTTAGTGATGCGTCTAGTACTAGGTTTAATTTCAGACTGAGGAAGTCGGTTGGTGACCTCTAAAGAAATCCCCAAGCACCTGGCACTGGGAAGGACCCTCTGTTAAAGTGCTCTTTAAATACCATAAACAAACATCATACTGCAGCAGGGACTGGTAGAGGCAAGATTGATTAACCAGAGGCTGAAATCTCCATATCAGACACCCAAATTGATTAAACACCATTAAGATATCACACAGCAAGAACCATTTGGAAAAGAGATTACAGCAAAATAGATCACAAATTAATTTCATTATAGCTAAATACAGTGCTAGAAGATCATACATCCGGAGATTTGTATTTAATAGCACCTAGGTAAAACTATTACCTTGAAGAACACAAACCAGGAATGATCATAATCTAGTTTTGCTAGTGTTTGCTGAAACATTCTGTACAGTGGCTGGAAAGCAGCACCAGAGATGACATGGAATAAAAAAATTATTAATCTCAAGATTTTGAAAGAAGGGAAAAATTAGTGAAAGTGACATGCATCAAACCAATCAAGAGGCAGCGTTGAAGTCATCTCCATGTAGCTGTAAATTCAGGCTAAAGAACTTTTCCTGGTCGTGTATGGTTCGTTAGAGTCTGAAATCATCTAGATAATGACCTAGTTCTACCACTCACTCAGATCTCATCGAACCATAACACCACTGAAGTTTCAAGAATAAATTTCCTGGTTGCGTTCTTGTATTTATAACCCATTACCCTGATTATTTCAACTAATCCAGATTAAGTTGTTCACACCCATTCCAACATCTTAGAGGAAGACAGTCTTTTCATGTCACCCAATGGAAAGAAAGAATAGAGGAAGTAGGCTTTTCCTTTTATGATAGTTTTCTTAAAAGGAAGTAGTATTTCTCCAAGAGTTGTCATCAGGCGAAGGTCTTGGTGAGGACATCTTCATGCTGCTGCAGGTGAACTGTGCCAATTCCCACTGCGGGTACGGCCAAAGGGGGACGGCTCACGAGGCGGAGCTGTCATTGCAGCAGAGAAGAAACAAAATGACATTTTGACGAGATCAGAGCTTAGTTTCATCAAGAAGGGGCATACACTTCTCTTAGCTTAACCATAAATCACCTCTGGAAAGATAAGTTACCTGGAATAGGTTGGAGGGAAATGTATGTCACCACTAACAACTAACTAAATTCCAGGCATGATACGGTGAGACAAGTTCTTGAATTTGTCCTATTCGTAAGTAACTATCAGTTGGTTTTAGCTGTAGAGTTTACTTAATTAGAACTATTTACATGTAAAAATGATTTCAGCCTAGCAAACTGGTATCAAATAAGTAAACTGCGTTTTAATCAAAGCAGAATAGGAAGACAAACACAAGTGCAATTGCTCTTCTCATCAATTTTCTTTTCTTTTCTTTCTTTTTTTTTTTTTTTAGAGACAGGGTCTCACTCTGTCACCCAGGTTGCAGCATAGTTCACTGTAACCTCAAACTTCTGGGCTCAAGCAATCTGCCTGCCTCAGCCTCTCCAGTAGCTTAGACTACAGGCACATCCCACTACACTCAGATAATTGTTTTATTTTATTTTTTGTAGAGACGAGTGTCTCACTCTTGCTCAAGCTGGTCCCAAACTCCTGGCCTCATGCAATTCTCCCTCCTCAGCTTCCCAAAATGCTGGGATTACTGGAGTGAGCCAGCTTGCCCAGCCAGCTTTTACTTTTTTTGAGTATAAACCCTTTTTTTGAATGTGATATTGACATGTACACATACACAGCTCCACAAACAGTATTTTCTTCTGAAGGGATAGTCTAAAACTAGATTTTTAATTTTAGTTTATCTTTAAAGAATTAGACTGATAATAGGGGATAAACCCATTTGTTGGCACTTCAGGAGAAAACACACACACACACACACACACACACACACACACACACGAGAGAAAGAGCTATTACCTTGCAGGCCAGTTGCTTTTCAAACCTTGGAGAAACAAAAGACCATGGACCCATGTTCTGAGGTTCCTCCTGACTCCAGACAAGATCTATAAAAGAAGACATTCACTTCAGCACCTCAAGTAAACATATACAGACTGTCCCCAATCTCTGACGGTTCAACCTACAATTTTTTGACTTTACAGTAGTGTGAAAGCAATACGTTTTCAGTAGAAACCATACTTCAAGTACCCATACAACTATGTTGTTTTTCAATTTCAGTACAGTAATCAATAAGTTATATGAGATATTCAACACTCTATAATAAGATGGGCTTTGTGTGAGGGTTCCTTCCAGTTGCTCTGCATCCTCGTCAACAGTTGATATCATCAGTTTGTTTTGTTTTTTAGAGACAGGGTCTCACTCTGTAGCCCTGGGTGGAGTGCAGTGGTGTCATCATAGCCCACTGCAGCCTTCAACTCCAGGGCTCAAGCGATCCTCCTGCCTCAGCCTCCTGAGTAGCTGGGACTACATTCACATGCCACCATGCCCAGCCTTACTGTGGAGTTTTGAGAGTTCTTTAAATATCTTAGATAGTCCTTTGTCAGATATGTATTTGCAAATATTTTCTCCCAGTTTGTGGCTTTTCTTTTTACTTTCTTTACAACGCCTTTCATGATGTGAAAGTTTCTCATTTTGATAAAGTCCAACTTTTCTTTTATGGAGTATGCTTTTGGTGTCATATCTAAGAACTTTTTGCCTAAGGTCAAAAAGATTTTTCTCCTGTTTTTTTCTAGAAGTTTTATAGTTTTACATTTTATATTTAGGTTTACAATCAATTTTGAGTTAACTTCTGTGTAAGGTGCATACAGACACCCAATATCCTAGCCTCCAACCCCATTTGTTGAAAGGTTCGTCTTTTAGAATTATACTGTATTTCTCATAAATGATGTTATAGCATTAAAACCTCCCAAACTCTCAAGAAATCAGTGGTGTTAGATGAACGACTATCAGATGGGGGACACCAAGAGAGGCTGTGGAGACACTGGCTCTAGTCGTACTTTTTTTCATATCCTCAGGTTCCATGAGATTTAATTTTCTAGTAATCCCATGGCCCCACCACGTCTTGTCATCTGAAAGAGTTTGAGTGGGTTTTGGGTGTCTGAAAACCAGAGGACCCTAACGAGGACGAGGCCTTACCTTTAACGTGTTTGTACTTGCTCATCTCTTGCTGCAAAGAATCCAGCGGGAAAGGGCAGAGTTCCTCTATTCGGATGATGGCAAAGTCGCCCTTCTTGGCCCCCAGAGATTCCCTCTGCTTTGCCAGGGCGTAGAAATGTTTGCCGGAGCAGAACACGAGGGTCTTAACACTGTCAGGGAGAAAGGGGGGGCAGTGGGGTAGGGCAGAAATCATTAAAGGGAGAATTGTATCAGAAGAAAGAGGAAACGATCAGACTGAAATGCCTCTGCCTCGCTAAGGAAGCGGTGAGGGGCCCTGCGGCTGGGTTCAGTCGCATGCTATGCCCTGGCGACCCTTCTTTAGCGACACACGCCTCTGACATTCACTCTTCCACGCACACTGTAGCCCCCACGCCACCGACTTAAAGGACTTCTGTCCAGAGAAAGGAGATTTCCGTCACTTTGGATTCCTGAACATGAACTAATTCTCCCACGGATTAAATTTCTGCCACAGAGTGTGAAGGCAGAGGATCCGCATCACGTTACTTGTTTGGATCCACAGATGAATCACCAATGACCGGCTTGAATGTCGTTCCCGGTGCCATTTCCTGAAGAGCTGACACAGCCGCCTAAAGGGAGAAGGAGCCACACGTCTAGCAACAGCAGGAAAGAGCTGATGCTTCCACACGGATAGGAGGTTGTCACCAGAGTGTCAGAATTCTAGCCTAACCCTGCACATCAACACAGGTGCTAATAAACACAGTGTCTCTCCAAAAAAATATCAGTTTTGTATACTTCGGAGTGGAACTATGTTTCTGAGGTCACGTAACATCGCCTTTTGTCTGGTGCCACAAAAGTTTAAGAATCATAAAATTTCAGTTTGATCACACAACTTTATTGTCAATAAAAAATAAGCTTCAGTTTCTTGGAATTGGAAACATTTTAATAGAATTTATATTGTAAACCAAAACAGCTAAGCCAGGGCAATTATTTTATTTATTTATTTTTTTGTGAGACAGAGTCTCGCTTTGTTGCCCAGGCTAGAGTGAGTGCCATGGCGTCAGCCTAGCTCACAGCAACCTCAAACTCCTGGGCTCAAGCGATCCTCCTGCCTCAGCCTCCCGAGTAGCTGGGACTACAGGCATGCGCCACCATGCCAGGCTAATTTTTTCTACATATTTTTAGTTGGCCAATTATCAATAGTATTAATTATCTTGAATGCTTCCACTTGAAAACTAGCATATTTTTGTGATTTGAAAATGTATTGTGCACTTAACACTTAAACAAGTAAACCAAGAAGAAATGTACCCTTGGTACGAACTGTAGCAATAGCTGTATTGTTACAATATTTGTTTATTGAAACACGAGTCTACCTGTGATAAATCATTTAATGGGAAAAAATCTTAATAAAGGACCATCAATAATACCATTTATTTTCATCAAAACATTTTAAATTCCCCAACTTGCTACTACCAACATAGTAGTGTTTAGACTATTTGGACTTTAAAACTTTTTCTAACATGTTATTTCTGCTCAGGCTAGGATACCGATACCCAATGTGATAGTATCTGCTATCCCTGTCTTTTGTTAAAATGGAAACAAAAAGCTAACTATATTTCCAGGTAGTATTAAAAGGTTTAAAAAAAAAAGGAAGCATCAAAGTCAATTAAAACTCTAAAGATGCTTCTGTAATTTAGAAATATAATTAGAGGCAGAAAACAGAGAAAAATGGAGTACAAAGAATGACAGGAAGAGAAAGGTTGACAAGCCAGCTTTTCCCACTTACAGGGAGCCTGAGTAACATCTTCGGAGAAGCGACAATGAGGGGTTTTCTGAAGTTCCGGACCATCTGTCTTCTGAGCAAGTGGAAATACTGCGCGGGGGTCGTGGGGTGAACCACGAACATGTTCACGGTGTCTCCGTCCACCCCCTCCTCTCTGCTGTCACACATCTGGGAGGGAAACGAGAAGATCATCTATCTCAGTCACAGTGACAACAGGCTAGCCAAAGGGAAATGTGAGCTCGTCCTCGATCTAGTAAGAGACATTTCTCTCCAGCACAGAAAAATACCAGAAGGCAAATTTATGAACTGTGAAGTGCTAACCGAAGGGGAGTTCACTATCGACCCAATCTGTGACTGCAAGAATGATCTGGAAACAGACTCTTAAAAATACAGATTCTCAGCCGGGCGCGGTGGCTCACACCCATAATCCTAGCACTCTGGGAGGCCAAGGCAGGAGGATCGCTTGAGCTCAGGAGTTCGAGACCAGCCTGAGCAAGAGTGAGACCCCCGTCTCTACTAAAAATAGAAAAAATTAGCCAGGCGTGGTGGTGCATGCCTGTAGTGCCAGCTACTCACTCAAATGGGTGAGGCAGGAGGATCACTTGAGCCTAAGAGTTTGAGGCTGCAGTGAGCTAGGCTGATGCAACAGAGTGAGACTCTGCCTCAAAAAACAAAATAAAAGTAAATGAATAAAAAATAAAGTTCCCTCGGGGATTATAATGCACAGCCTGGTATGAGAACTGCAGATCTTTGTCAACACAGTAACCCCTTTAATTGCCATAAAACTGTGATACCTGGGCCAGGTGCGGTGGCTCACGCCTGTAATCCTAGCACTCAGGGAGGCTGAGGCCGGAGGATCGCTCAAGATCAGGAGTTCGAAACAAGCCTGAGCAAGAGAGACCCCATCTCTACCAAAAATAGAAATAAATTAATGGCCAACTAAAAATACATAGAAAAAATTAGCCGGGCATGGTGGCACATGCCTGTAGTCCCAGCTACTCAGGAGGCTGAGGCAGGAGGATCACTTGAGCCCAGGAGTTTGAGGTTGCTGTGAGGTAGGCTGATGCCACAGCACTCTAGCCCAGGAAACAGAGTGAGACTGTCTCAATTAAAAAAAAAAGAAAAAAACCGTGATAGCTGAAGCATTGTTTCCAAGGAATACTGACATTGCATCAAGTCTGTTTCATTCAAACCCTACAATGTGTTACAGTTTAAGGTGGGCATCAGGCTATCACCTGGGAAGCAGGACAGTTTCCTGGACTCTAGAAGGCATTCAACATACCTGCAAGAAACGCTCTATGCGACAAGATGAATGATCCGGTCCTGCCCCATCGTAGCCATGTGGGAGGAGAATGACAATGCCACTCTGTAGGAGCCACTTGGCCTCCCCTGGAAAATCAGAAGGTGAAGAGTGAGAACTCTCTGACGCAGGAACAAAACAGTCGACGTGACTCGGATGGTGAAACCAATGTCTGTCTGCTGCCAGCCCCCACAAACCGTTTTCCCTAAGTGTACTTTCTAGAACTCTTACACCATACTTAGTGGGGAAATATCCACTTGGCTGGGTGAAAACCTACAACGGCGCGTGTCCTGGGCTTCAGCAAGTGGAAGACAAACTCAAAGGTGAATGCCTGGCTTCCTGGCCAGCACGTGCCACTCTAACTTCACGGCAGGCGCAGCTCTGAGAAGAATGGGCGGATCCCACCTTCCTCACAGCCCAGCTGACAACACGGGCCACTGTCCTCAAAGAGAGGGCAGTGGAATGCTGTAGAACGGTCTCTGGACATGTCAAAAGTCCAGTCTCCCCAGAACTTCACCTTCTCACAACTAAAAATGTTACAGGGAAACACAACTACAGGAGAGAGATTTGAGGCATATATACTCAAAACCTTATACTGGGCACCTCCACAAAATGGGATTGAGGGTCTCAGGAGAGACTTTGACTTCACAGATTCCAAGTTTTTACAGGAAGCAGGTACTGCTTTGTAAAACCTGAATGTGCCTGGATCACGGGGGACAGGTTTTCAACCCCCCCCCACCCCGACTCCAGGGCATAGTCGCTGAGAGGCACCCACCCTCCTGCTGACGGACAACTGGGATGCTCTTCCCGGGACCTCATTAAACTGACAGCTGCCAGGCCTCAGTGGGTCCCCAACTGCCTGGAGGGGCCAGAGCACACAGGAGCGTCGTAAGCAACAGTGGCCCCTTTTCATCTGTGTGTCCCCGTGAGGCTGGGGCCGTGCGTCCATCACCCACCCAAGTGCCAACACCAACCTCCAGAGATGAATGTGTCAAAGACGATCTGGGCGCCATTGAAGAAATCACCAAACTGAGCCTCCCAGATGGGCAGCAACTTTGGGCTTTCAATGCTCATTCCATACTCAAATCCCAGCACGGCCTCTTCCGACAGGGGGCTGTTGCTGACCTATTCCCAAGGAAGAGGACCAAATGCTGTCATGCAAGGGGATGATATCTGAACAGAGCCTGCAAAGGCTCTGTACAAGCAGAGCATCTGTACAAGCATCTGTACAGAGAGCATCTGTACAAGCCTCTCCAAGGGAGGAGGGGTGCAGAGGGAAACTTAGCTTTCATTTATCACCACATTCCTTTCAGAAAGGGGACTGCTATATTTGAATATGGTTTGTTTGCGCCCTCCAAACCTCATGCTGAAATGTGGTTCCCAGTGTTGGAGGTAGGGACTAATGGGAAATGTTTGGGCCATGGGGGCAGAGCCCTTCTGAAAAGATTGGTTAGTTCCCATGAGAGGTGGTTTCTTTTTTGTTTGTTTGTTTTTGAGACGGAGTCTCACTCTGTTGCCCAGGCTAGAGTGAGTGCCATGGCGTCAGCCTAGCTCACAGCAACCTCAGACTCCTGGGCTCAAGCAATCCTACTGCCTCAGCCTCCCAAGTAGCTGGGACTACAGGCATGTGCCACCACGCCCGGCTAATTTTTTCTATATATATTAGTTGGCCAATTAATTTATTTCTATTTATAGTAGAGATGGGGGTCTCGCTCTTGCTCAGGCTGGTTTCGAACTCCTGACCTCAAGCAATCCGCCCGCCTTGGCCTCCCAGAGTGCCAGGATTACAGGCATGAGCCACCGTGTCCGGCCGAAAGGTGGTTTCCTAAAAAGAGTCAGCACCTCCCTCCCACCTTACTTCCTCTCTCGCCTTGTGATCTGCACGCACTGGTTGCTTAAACTTCAGTCCAGTGAAGTTATTTGCAGTTCCCTGAGTATGTTGGATTCTCTCACTTCATAGCTCTTATATGTACCCTGTGTCCACCTAGCATGCTTATCCCACACTTATTAGACTATACAACCCCTATCATCCTTCAAGCCCAAGCTCAGCTTTGGCTTCTCCCAAGCACTCCCCAGCCTTCTCCTTTGTACCTACTGTACTTTGTGTGCACTTTTTTTTTAAATAAATACCTTATTGTCTTGAATTTTTTAATATTTTTATTTATTCCAAAAGAGTAAGTTATAAATATATATAACGTACAACATGAGAGTATCCATTTTAAGTGTAGGGAGAGAGGACAAACAAAGATTGGGACATAGAACAGAGTTTGGGGAAAGACACACCCTCACTTATCATGGAGGCGGCCACGGCCTCTGCCCTCCTAAAACCCATCACTGACAAGGGAACGCTGGTCAGTTATACAATTCAGTGCAGACTGGGAAAGCAGACCCTATTCAGGAGGCTGTGGCTGCTCTCAGTACCAAGATCAGGCAGGAGCTTCTCCTGGGGTACTCATATAAAGGACTTGGTGTTAGATAATAAGTGAAATCTTGGACAGCATCCTCATAACAGATACAAGGCTTTGAAGTGGGGCATTTAAAATGGCAGCATTCAAAACTGATAGTAAGTCTCAAATCGCAATTCCGTGAAAGCTTCCTCTGAGGTAGGGGGAATACTAAACATTTCCATGTCTAGTTCATCCCTCTGACTCGATCCAGAGGTGGATGTTAGACTCACTGAAAGGGAAGATGAGCTCTATGTCTGTTAAGTAACCTTCCTGGAGTCTGGCCTTTGTCAAGTGAATCTTCTATCGGGTTATTAGCGAACTCAAGATCATATTCTCCAGCTAATGGAGACAGCAGGAAGATGACACGCCTGCAAACTTACCTTCAAGAGTAAGTTATTTTCATAAACATCATGTCCAAGGCACTACAGTAACTGCTGAGAGATAGAAGGAAAAGGCGCCAGCCCTGAAGACACTAAAGAGAGGGGCACAGAGACCGGCACCCCCGGACGCTGGACTATGCATGTGTACACATCACGCCACTCGGCTTAGGGAATGCGGAGGAAGCAAGTTATTTGTTTGTTTGTTTAAAGTAGAGAAGATCCTAGCACTCTGGGAGGCCAAGGCAGGCAGATCGCTAAAGATCAGGAGTTCGAGACCAGCCTAAGCAAGAGCGAGACCCCGTCTCTACTAAAAATAGAAAGAAATTAATTAGCCAACTAAAAATATATAGAAAAAATTAGCCGGGCATGGTGGCGCATGCCTGTAGTCCCAGCTACTCGGGAGGCTGAGGCAGGAGGATTGCTTGAGCCCAGGAGTTTGAGGTTGCTGTGAACTAGGCTGATGCCACGGCACTCTAGCCTGGGCAATAGAGTGAGACTCTGTCTCAAAATAAAGTAGGGAAGAAATATTGACTTATTATCCACACCTTTGACTAACTTTAATGAATCACAGCAATTTGCAGATTATCACGTCCATTTTGAATTGATGAAATGCACATCCATTTGACATTGACATGGCTACACACAAGTCACCAGAGTAAGAAAGCTCCAGGCTACTCTCAAGTCTGTTACTTCCATTCCAAATTTACAGACCTACATCCATCGTCTGCCCACTCAGCACCCCTGTATTTCAAAAAGTGTAGGACTCAAAGTTGCCAAATTCTATTCTAGTTGTTTTAAGGATCTTGGAGCCGTCACCATCGGCACTTGGATTTCACAATTGCTGCTGTAACATCCTACCTCTAGAAACCCCTTCTGATCAGGATCCATGTGGTTCAGAGGGAGGTAGGTGTCATCAGTCTCCTGGCAAACCACCATTGCATGCCTTTGACTAAAAGTTCCACGGCCAACGTCTTGGCCACTCAGCCGGATGTTAAAACCTTGAGCAAGCAAGCAAGAAAAAAAAATATCCAGATTCCCATGAATAGCCTAATAAGAAGAAATATGACTCCAAATTCTTATATATCACATTAATCCTGAGAATTCTCCTTAGGATAACAGTCTCCTTATTAAAATATACTGTCCTAGATTCGAAAGTCTATAGTCAAGGTGAGATAGTGTAAGAATTAGAGTCCTCATTTGCACTACACTTTCTAGAGAAAAATATCTCTCCAGGGGTCTTGAAACTTTTTAAACAGGGGGCCAGTTCACTGTCCCTCAGACCGTTGGAGGGCTGGACTATAGTTTAAAAAAAACTATGAACAAATTCCTATGCAGACTGCACATATCTTATTTTGAAGTAAAAAACCAAACGGGCAAAAAACACTCACATGTGGCCCTCGGGCCATAGTTTGAGACGCCTGCTCCAGTGCATCCAGAACTGAGCCCTTTGCTTGCCAGGTATAAGTGTCCTATAGTCCCTGATGGAGGTTGTCAACATGACTTGTACTACAATTAAGTCATACTGTCAGGTAACAGAAGTTAATCTAACTTGTTCCAGAACCTCTCTAGCCAGGAGGTAGATGTAATTCAAAAAACCGCAGAGGTCATAGGTACCAAACGTCTTTTAAAGCATTCTCCACCCGCTGTGCAGCTAAATAGAAAGTTCTCACCTTCAGCAAGTAAGGAGCCCAAGGCAAGAGCTTCAGCCGTGGCCCAGTCCAACTTTGTCCCCTCTGTCATTTTCTCCATCCTAGACTGTAAAATTGAAGGGAAGGAAAACAGAAACTTTTAAGAGTCCCTATCACATTGAGTTCAAAAAATTTAATGCAACAGGCTGGGTGAGATGGCTCACACCTGTAATCCTAGCACTCTGGGAGGCCGAGGTGGGCAGATCGTTTGAGCTCAGGAGTTTGAGACCAGCCTGAGCAAGAGCGAGACTCCATCTCTAGTAAAAATAGAAAGAAATTAATTGGCCAACTAAAAATATATATAGAAAAAATTAGCCAGGCATGGTAGCACATGCCTGTAGTCCCAGCTACTCGGGAGGCTGAGGCAGGAAGATTGCTCAAGCCCAGGAGTTAGAGGTTGCTGTGAGCTGGGCTGATGCCACAGCACTCTGGCCTGGGCAACAGAGTGAGACTCTGTCTCAAAAAAATAAAATAAAATAAAAAAAATTAATGCAACAAATGTTAAATATCAAAAACATAAGGTTGGGGCTGGGCGCGGTGGCTCACACCTGTAATCCTAGCACTTTAGGAGGCCGAGGCAGGTAGATCGTTTGAGCTCACGAGTTTGAGACCAGCCTAAGCAAGAGTGAGACCCTGTCTCTACCAAAAATAGAAAAAATTAGCTCAACATGGTGGCGCATGCCTGTAGTCCCAGCTACTCGAGAGGCTGAGGCAGAAGGATTGCTTGAGCCCAGGAGTTTGAGGTTGCTGTGAATACCATGGCACTCTAGCCTGGGCAACAAAGTGAGACTCTATCTCACAAAAAAACCAACAACATAAAGTTGAATAAAAACAAAGAGCACGGACAGCTACATTGGAGTATGATAGCAATTACATACAGTTTTAAAACAGGCAAAACAAACATGCACTTTAGGTTATAATGGATACCTCCATGGACGCTTGAGGACATGGAATTAGGCAGTGTATGTGGGGACTGTATTTATAATATCCTATTTCTTAGGCTGGGTGATCAGTACATAGTTTACTGTATAATAATAGTCTCTATACCTATTGCAAAAACTTTAGAAAAACAAAGTTAGCATTTTAAAATAATGCAGAAGGGGCTGGGCTGGGCATGGTGGCTCACACCTGTAATCCTGGCACTCTGGGAGACCGAGGTGGGAGGACTGATTGAGCTAAGGAGTTCAAGACCAGCCTGAGCAAGAGTGAGACCCCTGTCTCTACAAAAAAACAGAAAAATTAGCCAGGTGTCATGGTGTGTGCCTGTAGTCCCAGCTTCCTGGGAGGCTGAGGCAGGAGGATTCCTTGAACCCAGGAGTCTGAGGTTGCTGTGAGCTAGGCTGATGCCATGGCACTCTACCCAGGGGGACAGAGCAAGACTCTGTCTCAAAAAATAAAATAAAATAATGCAGAGGACCAAGTTCCTTCATTCAAGCTTAAGGAAGACAAAGACCTTTAACTCTTTGCTCTCTTGGTTTTAGCATTAAAAGTCCCATGTTCCAGAAAGCCCCTAAGACCCAGGCAAACCAGCATGGTTTGTCATCCTATATCTAACATAGGACAGTATGTAAAACTTTAGCATGTTTAAGAGTCTACATGGTTATTTTCAGGGTATATGTGTTGCTTTTTGTTTCTTTTATTTAAGCCACCTGAAAGAATTAAAGTATCTTTCACTCACTGGTTGGAAAAATCAGAACAGACTTTCTTGTATTTCTGTATTTTTTATAATGTGCGTGTATTCCGTGTACATGTCATGTATTAAACATACATTAATACATGGAGGAGACATAAAATTTGCAAAAATCGGATTGACTATTAATTGACTATCAGTACCAAACAACACTAGGATCAGTCCCTAGAACCTAATGGCACACAATAAATACTTGTCAAATAAATTGGCCAACCAAAAAGTCAGGACCAACATCAATTCCTTTGTCGAGCAAGAAGGAAAAGCAGTGACAGGTGATTTCAATGCTCCCCACCTGAACATACATCTTTAGGAGGTGACTGTGCACCTGAAGCTCCTCCGGCACCTCCACGGACTTTGCCCCAATAAACCGCAGCAGGTCGAGGGGCACACCTGTGTTCCAGGTGGTGACCCGCGCTTCCGGCTGAACCAGGTCCCTCCAGTGAGCTTGCAGGTTGGTGGCAGGGGGGCTGTAGTGGGTCACGTTGGTTAAGTGGTTATTTAACTTGGCATAGTAGGAGGATTTTATTTCAGACACCTCCTCCTGGGCCATGAGTCCACTGGCAGTAAGGTGTTCTGCGTATGTGTCTGGGATGCTCTTTCGGGCTCTGTCCAAGAAAAATGGAAAAAAAAAAAAAAATCAATCTGACCTGTAAAAATCCAAGAGATAGTCATTGTCAAAGACATTATAGAGTGTCATCACTATAAAAAGGCATTCAGGAAACGTTTTGGAACTAGATAGGGATGGCGGTTGCACAACATTGTGAATGTAATAAATGCCACTGAATTGTCCATTTAAAATAGTCAATTTTACATTATGTGACTGGTACCTTCAATAAGGTAATAAAATAAACATTTTGAAGCGATAGGCGTTAAAAAGAAATAAATAAAATAACAATCGAGTAAATAAATAAAGGCACTCACGAGTAACAGCCACATCCAGGCAAGCAAGAGAAAACACATTTATATTTATAAGCTTTTGTCTACATCCAGGTGGAAATAGTTAGTAGCATTTTCCTATGAATTGGGAAATCCTGACAGTTATTTCCGAGACTGACCAACACTGTCTACCCAATCAGCACCTTCTTCATTTTGGAAAAGATGGAACCCAAGGTTGTTGGCATCTGGTTCAGGTTGCTCTAACTATCCTTAAACTACAATAGCCAGCACCTGGGTATTACAACAACATTAGTTCTACTTGACATTTGCATAATACTTTAATCTAGAAAGCCTGTTCCCCTATGTTATCATATTTCATCCTGACAAAAGTGAGATGTGAGCAGGATAGATGTTTTTAAATGAGGCCCTGAGCCTCATTGACTCATTCAGCTGCTAAATTCAGAGCTAAGCAGAAAACGAAGATTACTTCTTCCTGTAAAATGTCCTCAAGTTTATTACTCTGCTTTAGTTTGTATCTCTGAGAAAATAAAGGGCGGCATCTGTTTTACTTTCATATCTAGAAAGGAAATTGCAAAGTAATGCCTTCTCACTCCATCACATTAACCTTCTGAATCAGCACTGTCCAACTAAAATAAATTGCAATACATATGTGCAATTAAAAAATTTCTGGCAGTCACATTAGAAAAAGTAAAAAGAGCTGGGCGTGGTGGCTCACGCCTGTAATCGTAGCACTCTGGGAGGCCAAGGCAGGCGGATCGCTTGAGGTCAGGAGTTTGAGATCAACCTGAGCAACAGCGAGACCACATCTCTACTAAAAATAGAAAAAATAAGCTGGGCATTGTGGCGCATGCCTGTAGTTTCAGCTACTCAGTGGGCTGAGGCAGGAGGATCCCTTGAGCCCAGGAGTTTGAGGTTGCAGGGAGCTGAATGACGATGAGATGCAGACGATGCCACTGCACTCCACCCAGGGAGATAGAGTGAGACTCTGTCTCAAAAACTTAAAAAAAAAAAATAAAAAAAACGGTGGAATTAATTTCAATGATATATTTGATTATGTCAATATATCCAAAATATTGTCATTTCAATACCTAATCGATATAAAAGTTACTGGGCTATCTCATATGTGTGTTTATATTTTACACACTAAGTCTTGGAAATCTGGTGTGCTCATCACCCTTACAGCACACCAATCAGGACCAGCCACATTTTAAGTGCTCAATAGCCACTTAACAGCTAGTGGCTTCCACACTGGACCGTGCAGTTCTGAACATTCGTTAAAATCTCTTGTGTTACCTCTAGCCCAGGCAAAAAGCAGGTCTACATCTGTGGTTTGTGGAAGTGAATCATGGAGGTTCTATTTCTGATCCTGCCAACACCATAATAAGAAGCTTTGGGCAAGGCTCTACCCAAGTCCTCCTCCTGCAGCCATCCCATCTGCTGACTTGTTAAGTTGCCCTTTCTCTGTGCAACGAGGAAATATGTAGAGTGTGAAGAATATAGGGTGCTCCCCTGGGACCCATGGGGTGACAATCCCAGTTTGCCCAGGGCTGTCTCAGCTTTAGCACTGAAAGTTTCACGTCCTAGGCAAACCAGGGAAGCTGGTCATCCTACTTGACAATGTCTATTAAAATTAATAATGCAGGCCAGGTGCGGTCACTCATGCCTGTAATCCTAGCACTCTGGGAGGCCGAGGCAGGTGGATTGCTCGAGGTCAGGATTTTGAAACCAGCCTGAGCAAAAGTGAGACCCCATCTCTACTATAAATAGAAAGAAATTAATTGAAACTAATATATATAGAAAAAATTAGCTGGGCATGGTGGCACATGCTGGTAGTCCCAGCTACAAGGGAGGCTGAGGCTGCAGGATTGCTTGAGCCCAGGAGTTTAAGGTTGCTGTGAGCTAGGCTGACACCATGGCACTCACTCTAGCCTGGGCAACAAAGCGAGATTGTGTCTCAAAAAAAATTAAAAACATAATAAATAAATAAATAAATAATAAAAATAATGCAGGCACTCTGGAGGAAAGAGGGTATAACAAAGGAAGGTTTGCAATTGTACCTGATGATTTTGTACATGACTGGGTTGGTGAAGAAAGGCTCATCCAGCTCATTGTGGCCCCACTGCCTGTAGCAGAACAAATCAACAATCACATCCTTGCGGAATCGGCGCTGGTATTCGAAAGCCAGTCGTGCTGCACGGACCACTTCCTCTGGGCTATCTCCATTGACATGGATGATGGCACAGCCCACAAGCTTCCCTGAAGTAGGGAAGACCACGGTGAAGCAGGACAATTAACCCAGAATAATATTAGCCCCCCCACGTTTTGCTGCCCAGTCCTCGCAGGGAGACTGGTTGGTAAGAATCCAAGCTTTGTAGACCAACTAAAAAGTTCCAGGTCCATGACTTATTGTGTGACTTTGGTAAGGTTATGATCTCCGTCTGCTTATCTATAAAACTGGAATTACATCTACCTCTTGGTGACGTTGTAGAGGTTAATGAATTAACGCCTATAAAATGTTCATGCTTAACAGAGCCTGTGCCTAATAGTTAATATTTATTTTGTTACTGTTATTATTATTATCTTCTTTTCCTGAGATAAAAGGGTCATTAAAGGATGCAGCCTAGAAAAAGATAAACTTAGGCCGGGGGTGGTGTCTCATGCCTGTAATCCTAGCACTCTGGGAGGCCAAGGCAGGAGGATCACTTGAGCTCAGGAGTTTGAGACCAGAGAGAGAGAGAGAGCAAGAGCAAGAGAGAGACCCTGTCTCTACTAAAAACAGAAAAAAGTAGCTGGGTGTAGTGGCACATGCCTGTAGTCCCAGCTACTTGGGAGGCTGAGGCAGGAGAATTGCTTGAGCCCAGGAGTGTGAGGTTGCAGTGAACTATAATGATGCCACTGCATTTTAGCCTGGGCCACAGAGTAAGATACTGTCTCAAAAAAAAGGGGGAGAGGGGGGATAAACAGTGAGGCGCATTGTTCTGCATGAACTAGGGGTTTCTCTTGGAATTCCCTGTTTTGACCCAGCAGTATCAACTCCTCCCCGTGTGACATACCAATATCACTGCAGTACAAAGAAGACCTTCCTCTTTCTGCTGGGGTGGTATAACCCAGCTGGTTATTGACGATCAGATGGACACTCCCACCAATTCTGAAATGTGGGAGATTGGATAGCGTGAATGTTTCTGGAACAATCCCTTGACCGCAGAAAGAAGCATCTCCATGAACCTAAATCATGGGGGGAGAAAAGAGAAGAGGATATAAGGGATTAAGAAATTTAGGTTTTCTTTCAGATGGGAATAAACTGTTTCCCCATAGTAACAGGAATATAAACCATGCATACTCTTCCCCTGCCTTCCTAAAAACATGAGGGTTACAGGATTTCCTAGAACGGGTAGGCTGATCTCAAAAGCGACTTTCAAAGATGCTAGATCGGTCCTTCTCCTCTTGCAGTCACCGTCAGTTAACCCGCTCCTTCTACACCACATCATCACCGATACTCATCATGTAAGCAAACATTCTGGTAGCACCATAGAAGGAAAAGCTGTTGGATGCAAAGAGAAAATCAGCTCTAAGAAATCTTGCGCAGAAAACAGCCTGTGAGACACAAGGAACAGGGCACAGCTTTGCACTCTTTCTTTGACCTCACCTCCTGAAAAGAGACTACGTGGCTCACGTCCCCTAATCCTCGATGCCACTGTGAACATAAAGGAAAGTGACGTGATGGCAAAGAAGAGGAGGTGTGGGAGAAAAATATCTCATATATGTAAGTGGAAAGAGGGTTTGCAGAAAAGCAAAATATTATTATGAGAGAATATCTCAAATGTTCTATCCTTCTAGAACATTTGAAGTCACTATATTACAATACCATCACAAAACCTGATAGACTAGGTGGTAGGGAAAGGAAAAAAATTTTTTATGTTAGAGATGGGGTCTCACTATGTTGCCCAGGCTTGCCTCAAACTCCTGGGCTCAAGCAATCCTCCAACCCTTAGCCTCCCAAGTAGCTGAGATTATAGGCAAGTGCCACTGCACCCAGAGGAAAATTGTTTTTATGTTTAAAGCAAATAATGAAGGAATTGTGATCTTAGAAGATTTAGGCTGGATGTGACAGCTTACACCTGTAATCTTAGCACTCTGGGAGGCCGAAGCAGGAAGATTGCTTGAGGTCAGGAGTTTAAGACCAGCCTGAGCAAGAGGGAGACCCCATCTCTACTAAAAAAAAAAAAAAAATAGCGGTGGCTCAAGCCTGTAATCCTAGCACTCTGGGAGGCCGAGGTGGGCGCATGATTTGAGCTCAGGAGTTCAAGACCAGCCTGAGCAAGAGTGAGACCCCATCTCTACTAAAAATAGAAAGAAATTAATTGGCCAACTAAAAATATATAGAAAAATTAGCTTGGCATGGTGGTGCATGCTTATAGTGCCAGCTATTCAGGAGGCTGAGGCTGGAGGATTGCTCGAGCCCAGGAGTTTGAGGTTGCTGTGAGCTAGGCTGATGTCACAGCACTCTAGCCCAGACAACAGAGTGAGACTCTATCTCCAAAAAAATAGAAAAATTAGCCGGGCGTCATCACGTGCACCTGTAGTCCCAGCTACTAGGGAGGCTGAGGCAGGAGGATCATTTCAGCCCAGGAGTTTGAGGTTTCAGTGAGCTATGATGATGCCACCATACTCTATCCAGCGTTACAGAGTGAGACTCTGTCTCAATTTAAAAAAAAATCTTAGAAGAAAGAATCTCTACTGGCTTCATGCTGACATGCTATTATCATAAGCAGCCAAAACACTGAACTGAATAAAATGATCTGATATGCCCTACCTTAAGGCAACCACTGTGGCTTAGAGAACAAGAAGAAATAGACTTGAATATGAATGAAGAAAGAACACTTGGAAGTAGGTTTTTTTTTTAAATGTCTTTGAAAATGTCCTGAAAAGTGTCATTTTTACATAAGTAGAATACTCTGGCCTAAGAAACGAAGCACTCTCACCTAAGGGAAATTTCCAGTCTACACTTTCCCAACCTACAGGTAGACTGACATTTTGGAGGACTGACACCTACGAATAGTGTACCTTGCATTATTTCCACAGCATTGTGGGTTATTTCCATTAATCCACCCAACAACCAAGTTGCAGAGTCAGGTTAAGGAAAACACTACTGTTCTTTTCACAGGTGAGGAAGCCAACGTTCAGAAAGAATATACAGAGCACATGACTTAGGCTAGACCTTCTATGATGCATCTATTCTTTTTACTGACTTCCCCATTCCCCCAAGTCTTTCACCTGGGTCAGGAAACTTATATCCACATGTTCTCATGAATCCTCAGAACACTATGAGGAATCTGCTAATATCCCTATTTTACCTACAAGACTCAGAAGACTTCAGTAATAGAACCAAGCAGGCCCAACTGGAAGGCAGCAGAGCCAGGATTTGAACTTGGGTCTTTTGCCTTCCAGAGCCCTGCAAAGTCCAGTACTCAGCTTCTGCAGGGTCAAGGGGTTCCTGACAGCTGAATACTCCTCACCCTTTGGTGTCCTTGCTCTGAGACTTCTTGCAGGGCAATGATGTAGAGGAGATAAGTACAGCAAGGAAGAGAGATGTTTGCCTCTTCCACATTTTTTTAAAAATGCTATAGCAGGCCGGGCACGGTGGCTCACGCCTATAATCCCAGCTCTCTGGGAGGCCGAGGCGGGCGGATTGCTCGAGGTCAGGAGTTCAAAACCAGCCTGAGCAAGAGTGAGACCCCGTCTCTACTATAAAAATAGAAAGAAATTAATTGGCCAACTAAAAATATATAGAAAAAATTAGCTGGGCATGGTGGCGCATGCCTGTAGTCCCAGCTACTTGGGAGGCTGAGGCAGGAGGATTGCTTGAGCCCAGGAGTTTGAGGTTGCTATGAACTAGGCTGATGCCATGGCACTCACTCTAGCCTGGGCAATAAAGCGAGACTCTGTCTCAAAAAAAAAAAAAAAAAAAAGCTTTGTGGGAGGAAAGGTCCTTAAACTCAACGAATACTGGGGGAGGCAGAAGGAGTCAGCCAGATGCAGGAGGGAGATCTTGACACACGCACAGAAGATCTAGCTGAGATAAACAGAAGACAGGCAGAAAACGTAGCATCGGAAATCTTACCCACTGTGATTTTATAGGCTCCGAATTTAGAGTTTCCACATGAAATCTGAACTGTGTACTCGAGCAAGGCAAGACATGTCCAGACATAGCAGGACAAAATATTTTTGGAAACAAAGTAGACAAAGGAGGGCAGTTTCTCATCATTTTAAAGAAAATGTCATTTTCACCTCTTAAATTCAGAAGTCCATCTTAAGACCAGCGCAATATACTGGGTAAATGTGAATGACTGAAATAGTTTAGAGTATCACGGATTAAGTGACAGAGAAAGAGAATGGCCCCAGTGAGTTGAAGATTTCTATTTAGAAATATCAAAGCATAATCAAATCCAAGTCTGCCTACCCCAACTTTATTTGCTATAAGTTTCTGGCCCATGAAAGATTAACATAAATAGGATAATGTGGCTATCTGTACACTTAGCAGAATATTCTACTGCCATATATATAAATATATATATATATGTGTGTATGTATATTTCTATGAGGTTTGAAGACTCCATTACTGTTATCTGGATTAATTATACCCCCAGCAGTTAAAGGTTCATGTTTAAATGAATGCTTATAGAAGAAAACGTGACCCAGCGCTCAAACCTCATGTTGGGTTACCAAAAATTGGCGGGCGGGGATAGATGAAGAAAGAGCCATGCTAATAATTCATATTATTTGCCTTAATGCCAAAGGCAGACAAAGAAAACCACACTCCTGCAGCCTTGTTAGATATACGGATACCATGGAGCTCTCCTAGAGGCTGCACTTGCAGAGAAGTAATGACATCTGTCCTCTCAGAAGTTGCAGCTATGCCAGCCAGTATCGCTCAATTAATTTACAACGTGAGAAAGGAAAAATGCAGTGGAAACCTCAGGCTAAAGCCAAGGTACTTGAAGACTAGATCTCGTATCTGCCATTAATTTTATTTTTTTTTATTTATTTTTTTTTTCCCTAACCGAAAGAAGGGTTGTACCCATAATTTTAAAAATGAGCCCGGAATCTTCTTTTCCCAAAAGGTCATCTCAGTTTCACCTTGAACATCCGCAATCACCCGTCAGCTTCCCAACCTCCGGCCTCACGTCCTAAAGCACCAAGTACCTGCAGGCAAATGACTTTGTCCCCAGGCTGCGCCGAGCTGTCGGGAGAGTAGTCCCCGTCCTGTCGAGACTGCTGCCGGCCACGGGTCTTCCCCACGGCCACGGGGTTCACAGCTTCCAGGTGTGAGGGGTTGGGTAGCATCGTCACGTGGAGCGGATGGTGCGCGCCGAAGTCCAGGTCCACGGAGGAGGTCAGGTGAGACAGGACATCTCCAGCGGCTGAGAAATTCTCCGGAAATTCGCTTAAGCCTCGCATTTTGCGGAACATCAGCTGTTACAAATGAACATGCAGGGAAAACATGTCTTTTATCACAATGGAGACTAGGGAAGTAGAGTTGGTTAGTGTAAATCATACAATAAAAGAACCTCCATGCAATAGTTTTATAACTATTATAACCATGCGTTATTTAAAGATAGGCACAGTGGCCGGGCGAGGTGGCTCACGCCTGGAAGGAATCCTAGCACTCTGGGAGGCCGAGGCGGGAGGATCGTTTGAGCTCAGGAGTTTGAAACCAGCCCCCGTCTCTACTATAAAAAATAGAAAGAAATTAATTGTCCAACTAATATATATAGAAAAAAATTTAGTTGGGAATGGTGGCACATGCCTGTAGTCCCAGCTACTCAGGAGGCTGAGGCGGGAGGATTGCTTGAGCCCAGGAGTTTGAGGTTGCTGTGAGCTAGGCTGATGCCATGGCACTCACTCTAGCCTAGGCAACAAAGTGAGACTCTGTCTCAAAAAAAATAAAAAAATAAAAAAAATAAAGGTAGGCACAGACTTGTAGCTGCTTTAAGAAGGATCTAACATAAGGCAAATAGCAAGTAACCTCTGTCATGCGACAAGTAAAAAAACGTTGTAAAAATATGCCTGTTGGAATATATTTTCCAAAAATCCTTTGTATTAATTTCATTAAAGGTAGAGAGGAGGCTCATGCCTATAATTCCAGCACTCTGGGAGGCTGAGACAGGAGGATCACTTTGAGCTCAGGAGTTCCAAACCAACCTGAGCAAGAGCAAAATCCCCGTCTCTACTAAAAATAGAAAAATTAGCTGGGCATGGTGGCATGCGCCTGTAGTCCCAGCTACATAGGAGGCTGAAGCAGGAGGATCGCTTTGAGCAATATATTCAGATATTTAAAAATCAGCCTAATTACCAGTTCTATCTCATTAAGGTCTATTGATTAACTAAGCTATCTCCTGGACCAGCTGCTCGTATGCTCAGGTGGCTTTCTAAAAACAACGACCACCGTTGGTTTTATTCTGTCACAGTCAGTTGTGCAGCGCTGGTGAGAAACACGGAATGTCACCTTACCTCTGGAGGGAACTGCAGAAGGCCTGTCAGCAAATTCAGCCTGCCTCTGTGGGGCATCCCGATGACGACATCGGTGATCCCAGCATAGGCCGACATCTTCAGCAGCTCGTGGAAAAAGCCCATCATGCTTTCAGCCCCTTCCCCTCCGTATCGCTTCACTGTGGCAAACTTGGTGGCCAAAAAGTGGTCAAACTCCTGCGGAGCATCACGTGAGACGCGTGAGACTGCTGGAAGGAAGCGAACTCCTCGGGGGGAGGCAGACAAGTTTGCGTGCGTGTGAGAAGACCCCACACCACCACGCAGCTGTGACAGGGCCCCTTCACGGCACACCGTAGAGGGACATAAGTAACACGGGACGTAGCGGGAAAGCTCTGCTTAGGACGCCAGACAGCAGGATGGGCTGCAGAGAGAACAACCCCTGGGGTGGAATAACTTGCCCCAAGGTAAGCCCTTAGAGAGTGTATTCTTCCGGACCAGGGGCCAGGCCCTAGATTTCTGCTGCCTTTCCCGGTATGTCAGTTTTAGCCATGGCTCTACAGCAATGTGTGATCGGGGCTACAAGCTCTGCAACGATCCAAACTACTGGGAAGAGGCTTCTTGTCATCTTGACATGCCTGAGTCCTGATCCTAGCCCTGACGGAGATTTGGTCCCGTTAATTTGTATTGAGGCCGGGTGCAGTGGCTCACGCCTGCAATCCCAGCACTCTGGGAGGCTGAGGAGAGAGGATCCCTTGAAGTTTAAGACCAGCCTGAGCAAGAGCGAGACCCCATCTCTACTAAAAATAGAAAAAATTAGCCGAGTGTGGTGGCACATGCCTGTAGTCCCAGCTATTTGGGAGGCTGAGGCAGGAGGATTGCTTAAGCCCAGGAGTTGGAGGTTGCTGCGAGCTAGGCTGACACCACTGCACTAAGCTTGGGTGACAGAGTGAGACTCTGTCTCAAAAAAAAAATTATATCGAGAGCCTCTTCTGTGCATAATCTTTTGATCACTTCAGGTAAGTTCTTAAGAAATAAGATCTTAAGAAGTAAGAAGAGTGAGTAGACAAATACATAAGAATTATTTTGACTCTGAGGAGAACCACCAGTAGCTTGACTGCTTGGCAATCTATTTTTTTCTACTTAGAATAAAGTGTTCTGTGTCATATCGTCGGCTGTGTTAAGGCAATGGAGGGAGGGGGTAAGTTCGGAGAGTTAATGGCTTAATTCCCTCTCCTCAATACTTATATATCTTCGTAGGCAATGAGCTGACCTATGCCATTGGTGTTAGATGCAAATTTTATACCTGAGACTCTAGCATTAGCTTTGACAGATATTTTCGTTCCTCCGTGGTAAATGTCTCCTTTTTCAGTTCCTCAAACCGCCTGGCAAACCAATCTTTCTCCTCCTGGCTCTGAAGTTGGGAGGTTTCAATAGAGATCTGCCCACAGTAGATTTCGTTGAGATAGGCTAATACTTCCTCAAGCGAGGCCTCTTCCTTCCCCATGTTCAATAATCCTATGAAATGGAATCAAAGGCATCATTTTTTAAAGTTATCAACCATGTAGCAAATTAATTCTGGAACATACAAAAATAATTAATTCAGAGCACTCTGTTCTTAATAACTTGGGTCATTATTAATGCTTATCTGGATTTTTCTAAAGGTACAACTGAAAATATGGTCAAAGGCCATGAAGTAGTAAAAGTAGGAGGAGAAAAAAAAACTTTCTTCACAAGGACAGATCCCTGCTGCTTTATGCTAAGTTTTGATTCTACAGTGATTTCAATCTAAAAATTAAAACCTATCTTTCATCCACTTTGTAGCTATAAAGCCTACTTCCTATTTTTATCCTTTATTTATGGGAAATATTTCCCAAAATCTTAAAGTCTTATCAATAATATCCATTATTAAACAGTTGGTCCCAATGTGGATTTAAACACAGATTAATATTAATAGCAAAGAAACATTTTAAGGTAAAAGGAAATCTCCCTGAACTGTATCCAAAGAAAGGGAAGGTTTGCACCTGTCATTAGCTCAGCATCAGTTATCAGTCACGTGCTAATCCTACAACCGGAACTTAACAATCCAATGTTTACTTTATAGTGCTTGTTATTTCTTATGATAGATCTTAGATCTTAGATACTGATTGACTGATCAACTTATAAAATTGCTTTGCATGTTGCATAACCTCTCTCTGCTTCACTTTTTAATCTATAAAGCAGAGGCCATCAATACACCTCAGGGGGGAGCTATGAAGATTAAATGAGGTTAGAAACAGCCCAAGTGTCCATCCATGGATGAGAGAATAAGCAAATGAGGTACAGCCATACAGTGGAATATTATTCAACTGCATAAAGCAGTGAAGTGCTGATTCATGCTACAACACGGATGAACCTTACAAACATCACGCTAACGTCAAAGGAGCCAGACACAAAAGATCAGCTATAGCATGATCCCACTTATATGAAGTGTCCAGAAAGGGCAATGCCATAGAGACAGAAAGTAGATTAGTGGTCGCCAGGGATTGAGGGGAGGGCAGAATTGGGAGGAACTGCCTAATGGGTATGGGGTTTCTCATGCAAAAGTCAGGAGAGAAATAATGAAGAACTAGAAGCAATACCCTTAATGTTTGAGCAGGACAGGTATATGAGAAATGTTTAGGATGTGGAATTGATGGCACTTGGTGATGAACACTGTACAGGGGAGGAAGGAGCTAAGGAGCACACCCCAGTCCCTAATTCGGGCTACGTAAGGAATGATGGCATTATAGGGAATATAGAATAGGGACAAGAACTCTGGGAGGCCGAGGCAGGCAGATCACTAAAGGTCAGGAGTTCAAAACCAGCCTGAGCAAGAGTGAGACCTGTCTCTACTAAAAATAGAAAAAAATTAATTGGCCAACTAAAAATATATAGAAAAAATTAGCCAGGCATGGTGGTGCATGCCTGTAGTCCCAGCTACTCAAGAGGCTGAGGCAGGAGGATTGCTTGAGCCCAGGAGTTTGAGGTTGCTGTGAGCTAGGCTGACGCCAGGGCACTCTAGCCCAGACAACAGAGTGAGACTCTCCCCCACCCCCGAAAAATCAAGTAAGGACTGAGAATGCATATTTCCTTGGACTCAGCAGTTAAGGGGGTGCCAGGGAAGTCGGTAGGATAGGGGAGGCGAGGGCAGGCTGAAGCCGGTGTCATAGCAGCTGGGAGGGAAGGAAGCAGAACAATGACCACAGACTGTTCAAGAAGCTCTGCTGGAAAAGCAAGGGGAGACATGGGTGGTAGTTAAGAAGAAAGAAACAGAGGAAGGATTTTTAAAGATGTAAGAACCCTGAGGTTCTCTATGTGCTAAGAGGAAGGAGCCCATGGAGAAGAAGACGAAATTGAAGACCTGGAAAGAGGAGAGATAATTTGTGGACTGAGAGTCCAGAAGCGGCAGGGAGTGGGGTTGACAGATGGGCCAGGGGGTCATCCAGGTTGGGCTGAGAGATGCTTCCTCCCACAAGGAAGCCAGGAGAGTGAGCAGAGTCATACTTGGGTCTAGACGTAGGTAAGTTTGTGAGTAAGGGAATGGAAGCCGCTCCTACCTCACCTTCTCAGTGACAAATAAAGGTAAGCATCAGTTGAGGGTGACGGTGGAGGGTCAGGAATTGTTCTGTGACAAGTCAAAGGTATTGACTGGGTGGTATTAAGAGAACAGGACAGGCTGGGCGCGGTGGCTCACGCTTGTAATCCTAGCACTCTGGGAGGCCGAGGCGGGCGGATTGCTCAAGGTCAGGAGTTCAAAACCAGCCTGAGCAAGGCACCGTCTCTACTATAAAAAATAGAAAGAAATTAATCGGCCAACTAATATATATATATATATATAAAAAAAATTAGCTGGGCATGGTGGCACGTGCCTGTAGTCCCAGCTACTCGGAGGCTGAGGGCAGTAGGATTGCTTGAGCCCAGGAGTTTGAGGTTGCTGTGAGCTAGGCTGACGCCACGGCACTCACTCTAGCCTGGGCAACAAAGTGAGACTCTGTCTCAAAAAAAATAAAAATAAAAAAAAGAGAACAGGACAGGCTGAAACCAGGAACCTCAAATGGAACCGTGGTGAGATCGCGTCCTGCTAAGTTCAGAAGGCCTGGAAACATCATTCTGTTGTCCTGATATAGTTGGGGGTTTGGAGAACAAGCGCAGCGGTTAATAAGGGTGCAGAAAAGTTGCGGGAGGTAGTGAAACTGGTTGCAATGAAGGAGTCTGACTGGGAAGTGAGGAAGGCAAAGGCAGAAGGGACTGATTAACTGAGAAAAAAACGGAGAGGCAGAAGAATCCAGAGTCAGACTGGAGTCAGAGCTACGACAGCGAGCGTGAGAAAGGAAAACGGCTGCAAGGAGAGGTGCTGATGGCCAGGACGCTGGATACTGGAATTAAGATTTTAGAGGCACAGCAGCAGCTCGTGCAGGTGATGGTCTTAGAGTAAAGAAAGCCACACATGGGCATTCCATCTCCCATTTAGAGCGGCAGGAACTGCCATGGAGAAGAAGATGGTGACCCAGACGGCAACTCTGCCCTCGGGGAATGAAGTGAAGGTCGCTGCTGACTGCAGTGAGGTCCTCCAGGGGCTTGCCAGCTCAAGATGCAGTCCCAGTTACACGGGAGGCCAAGGTAGGAGGACGGGTTGCGCCCAGGAATTCAAGGCTGCAGTGAGCTGTGATCACACCACTATGCTCCAGCCTGGGTGACAGAGTGAGACTCTGTCTCTAAAATACAAAGAATGAGAAAGGAACCCCACCTCACGCAGGCAGTTCACCGCCCGCCCGGGGTGGACGAGCCGTACCTGCGGTGCTGAAGGGTCCCTGCAGGGTCTGCACCAGGGCTTGGATTTCAGGTACATTCTCCAGCAGGGCTTGTCCGGCCAAGAGCGGGTTGATCTTGGCCGCTTTGTGACCATGCTCACAATACGCTGTCACCAACCTGGCAAGGCCGTGATCAACTACATTGGAGGGAAACAAGGCAAACACTTAAGGAAATGCCCGCAAACCACAAAAATCAGCTTTTCAAAGAAGCTACTGCAGCCTTAAGCGATGTAAATGGCTCCCACCCACCACCTCTGCGGTTTTCAGGAGAAAGAGCATCAGAATCCAGGTAAAAACACATTTATTTCCCTAAATTGATCTCATGATAGCTAAAGTTGGGGGGGGGAGGAAATAGAACTAACTATGAGTACACATTTGTAAAAATAATTATGCATATAGATAAATATTGGAAGGAAACACCCCAAACTGAAACTAACTTAAAATGCTCGGATTATGGATAGAGTCCTCTTTTTCTCCTAGTTATTTGAGAGATTTTTAGATCTTATATTTTCGAAGCTTCCAGTATCATCTACTAAACCATTAAAACGTCTTTAGTGGGTAAGAACAATAGCAAATCTACAAGGCTACCACCATGCACACAGAGATCTAGAAGCCATGTTGAAATTAGGCTGTGCACGGTGGCTCATGCCTGCGGTCTTAGAGCTTTGGGAGGGTGGAGTGGGGGAAATCACTTGAGGCCAGGAGTTTGAGATCTGCCTGAGCAACATGGCAAGACCCCACCCCTACAAAAAATTTTTTTTAATTAGATAGGCATGGTACCATGCACCTATAGTCCCAGCTAGTTGGGAGGCTGAGGCAGGAGGATTGCTTGAGCCTAGGAGTTTGAGGTTGCTGTGAGCTATGAAAAAGAAAGAAAAGAAAACTTCCTCTTAATTAGAACATGGACACGGGAGTCAGCACAAAAGGACACTGTTCACCCCAAAGAACATGCATCATGTACTACTCGAGCAGAGCTAGAGAGAGGGAGATTCCCGCCCACGCCTGGGCACATCTTCTATCCATCCTGGCATCCATGTTCGCTCAGACCCTCATTTCATTGCTTGAGTTTCTTCTACTAGAGTCAGTCTCTTCTCCCTTCCCTTTCTGCCTCCAGCTCCTCCGCTGCGCCCTCCTGCACAGGCACAGTTTCACGATGAACAGACCTCCTTACATTCATATCCTCTTGCCTGAACATTCCTAAGCTCCTGGTCTTCACTGGAACCCGGCTGTCCCCAGCGGTCATGTTACGGTGACATGGGAGCCAAGTCCCACTAACAGCCGAGCCCTACAGGCCCACCTTCTGCCAACACTCCCTGAGGTCGCTCTGGTTTACTCTCCGCAGCCAGACGCATCCTCCAGTTTTAGGAGACACCCTTGTATCTGTTAAATAAAGTCCTGTCTTTCTTTAAAATAGCCAGAGTTGGTTTCTGTTGCTTGTGACCAAAAGAACCTTAGCTACTAATAATACAAAAGAAAAAAAAATTGTTTCAGTTATGATAGGGATATCTATATCAATTACTTTATCTCTGCTATATAAGCAAACAGGGGGTACTGAATAATGTTTTGTTTTCAGGAAGAAAAATGCTCCTGTTAGCCAGCATGAAGTACACTGCCAGGTAACTTAGACTAAACTTAGTACTTAAATTAAAAGTCAAATGTGGTTATTTTTCGTCATCTGATCATAAACAGCCTCCCCCCTCAAAATAATCCAGACCACATCCACAGTTCTATTTTCATTCAAGGCAGCATATGCTTAAAGTGGGAGCACTGCGTATCTATAAAAACATTAGACTTCCAAGAAAGGGAATTTCATAATTCGGGTCCCTTAGGGCTCTATTAAAATGCGATGGCTTCCTCTAACTTCACCTTAGGAACTTCATATATAACCACATTAAAAGCCGAATGACTTTGTACCAGAATACAATATTCTGTACAATAAACTCAGATAGACTGAAACCATGCAACTGCATTCATTTTATATAATACCTTACATTCCCACCTCAAACATGACAGCTTTATAAAGCAAATTTATTTTGCCAAGCACTTTTCTTGCAAAAAAACCCCCAAACTTTAAATAGAAAGTTTGTTGTGGTTCTTTCAGCTGTTTCCTAATCTTTTCTTTTTCTTTTTTTTTTTTTTTTTTTTTGAGACAGAGTCTCACTGTGTGCCCAGGCTAGAGAGTGGCTTTGGCGTCCAGGGGCCCTAGCTCACAGCAACCTCAAACTTCCTGGCTTAAGAAGACCCAGCTCCCAAGTAGGCTGGGGACTACAGGCAGCACCACCAGTCCTGCTAATTTTTTCTATATTGATATAGTTGCCAATTAATTCTTTCTATTTATAGCTAGCAGACAGGGTCTCGCTCTTGTTCAGACTGGTTTCAAACTCCTGATCTCGAGCAATCCGCCTGCTGGCCTCCCAGAGTGCTAGGATTATAGGCGTGAGCCACCGCGCCCGGCCCTAATCCTTTCTTAAATCACTGCCCAGATACATAAGGAAGGGTCACAGACTGAGAATAAATGATACTGGCCATTTATTGAGTACTAACTTTTGCTGCACACTGTGCTGGATTTTTTCAAACACATCATCTTACTTAATCCTGCAATGACTCTGAAGCAGGTGTCTGTATCTGCATAAGGTAAACTGAGACCCAAAAAGGTTAAGTGACTTGCAAAAGGGGACACCGCCTAGTAATGAAGAAGCTGGAATTTGAACTCGTGTCTTTGACTTCATTATTGCATTTCATCTGCTACACCCAACAAAAGTTGAAAAGAAAACTCCTGAGCTTATAGTAAAAGGGATGAGAGAACTAGACATCATCATGAAGACATTTTTTTTTTAAGTACAAGAGCTAATGTTTTCAGCCTGCTTTGGTCTGCATTTGTGCTCAAGAATTATCTACATTTTCAAAAATCTCTAATGCACTCAGATTTTCCCCAAACTGTTTTCCCGAGACTCCAGTAAAAACTTCTGTTCTTCCCAATATGCCACATCCCTACAACCTCGCTTCAAATACCCAAGTTCGGTGGCAAACCTAGTAATCACTAACACTCTGAAATCCTGTGACCCCATCTCCAAATGGTCTCTAAACTCTGCCACTTTTTATAATGGAGGTTCCAAAACCTCTATGATAAAATTTATACCCTTGAGGCCGGGCACAGTGGCTCACGCCTGTAATCCTAGCACTCTGGGAGGCCGAGGTGGGGGGGATCGCTCAAAGTCAGGAGTTCAAAACCAGCCTGAGCAAGAGCGGACCCGTCTCTACTAAAATAGAAAGAAATTAATTGGCCAACTAAAAATATATAGAAAAAATTAGCCGTGCATGGTGGCGCATGCCTGTAGTCCCAGCTACTCGGGAGGCTGAGGCAGGAGGATTGCTTGAGCCCAGGAGTTTGAGGTTGCTGTGAGCTAGGCTGACGCCACGGCACTCTAGCCGAGGCAACAAAGTGAGACTCTGTCTCAAAAAAAAAAAAAAAATTATACCCTTGAATCACCACTTCTAAACCAATCTCCATTTTAAGTTGGGATTATTGATAAATAAATTCAAGCTTCCTTGGAAATTGAGGTTTGCAGAGGTTAAAGTACAAGCTGTTACTAATAGCTAGCTACAAAAAACAGTCATCACACACGGGTCAAATTTTAACTAGTGAAACCACTGCCATCTGAAAGGTTACTAGAAGCAAATTCAATATCTCTTTAAAGCCATAATACAAGGGAAATGTTAGTGAATAATGTGGTCATTCTATGTGGTGTTATGTTAGTGAATAATGTGGTCATTCTATTTTAGCCAAGATAAACATATGCAGAAAGAGGTCCAGTGAAGGGTGGAGAAGAGGGGAGGCTCTGTAACCTTGACTATCTCTCCTCTCATCTCACCATGTCATCTCTGACGTGGGAGATGCCATGTTCTAGCAAGGTTGGTCCTTTGATTTACTTTGCCAATACCAAAAAGTTCTGGACATGATCTATCACAGGAACGCAATCATTCCTCTCAACCAAGATGGTACCGTGGGACAACTGACAGACATCATGAAAAAGACTAAAGCCATTCAAATCGTGTCGTTGGCCTCCTCAGCCTCAGTTCTAGTTACTGGAACTGTGACCATAAGCAACACTTACACAGAAGTTAAGGAAAGACCCATAGAGTCTCAAGTGTCATCATCAGCAAAAAAAAAAAAAAAAATTATTACTTTTTCTAAAACATAATAATAGTGTATTGTGCAATATATAAAGACTTCCTTTCTTGATACTTGATGTTACATCTGTACTTGCGAAATTCAAATGCACTAAATGTCACAAATAGCGTATACAGGCTGGGTATAGTGGCTCACACCTATAATCCCAGCATTCTGGGAAGCCGAGGTGGGAGGATTATTTGAACACAGGAGTTCAAGATCAGCCTGACTAGGCCGGGCTCGGTGGCTCACGCCTGTAATGCTAGCACTCTGGGAGGCCGAGGCAGGTGGATTGCTCGAGGTCAGGAATTCAAACCAGCCTGAGCAACAGCGAGACCCCGTCTCTACTATAAATAGAAAGAAATTAATTGGCCAACTAATATACATAGAAAAATTAGCTGGGCATGGTGGCGCATGCCTGTAGTCCTAGCTACTCAGGAGGCTGAGGCAGAAGGACTGCTTGAGCCCAGGAGTTTGAGGTTGCTGTGAGCTAGGCTGACGCCATGGCACTCACTCTAGGCTGGGCAACAAAGCGAGACTCTGTCTCAAAAAAAAAAAGACCAGCCTGACCAAAAGTGAGACTGTCTCTACTAAAAATAGAAAAAACTAGCCGGGCATGGTGGTGTGTGCCTATAGTCCAAGCTACTCAGGAGGCTGAGGCAGGAGAATCACTTGAGCCCAGGAGTTTGAGGTGGCTGTGAGCTAAGCCGATGTCACGGCACTCTAGCTTGGGCAACAGAGTAAGACTGTGTCTCAAAAAAATATTTAAAAATAAAATAAATTAATTAAAGACCAGAGTTTTCAGGCTTAAAAACTTTTGTCTAGATAAGATTTTTTTTTTTTTTTGGAGACAGAGTCTCACTTTGTTGCCCAGGCTAGAGTGAGTGCCGTGGCGTCAGCCTGGCTCACAGCAACCTCAATCTCCGGGGCTCAGTGATCCTCCTGCCTCAGCCTCCGAGTAGCTGGGACTACAGGCATGCGCCACCATGCCCGGCTAATTTTTTGTATATATATATTTTTAGTTGGTCAATTAATTTATTTCTATTTTTTGGTAGAGACGGGGTCTTGCTCAGGCTGGTTTCGAACTCCTGACCTTGAGCAATCCGCCCGCCTAGGCCTCCCAAAGTGCTAGGATTATAGGCGTGAGCCACCACGCCCGGCCTAGATAAGATTTTTGACTGTGGCAACTTGCTCATAGAATAACCAGAAATAAAAAGACTGCCGACTTACAAATTTTGTAAGAGAATTGTACTGCCAAAGAATTCCCCCTAAAGTAACTCTCAAGCTCCAGATCTTATCAAAATAAAGTAGCCTGTTGAGCTGGGCACCATGGCTCACATCTGCTGTCCCAGCTACTCAGGAGGCTGAGGCAGGAGGATAGCTTGAGGCCAGGAGTTCAAGATTAGCCTGAGCAACATAGGAAGACCCTGTCTCTAAAAAAAAACAAATAAAAATAAAGGAGGCTATGGACGTTGTACAGCCTCAGGGGAGGTGCTACTCTGCAGATACTTCCACAGAAGAAAGCAGATAAGGAACAACCCATAAGGCAAAGCCAAGGGGAAAGACAGAAAGCAGAGTTGACAGGCCAAATAAACTACATAGCCAGATGAAGGAACTTTTATCATTCCTCCCCAAGAGGATTTGATAACTGTTTTGAACCAAGGACTGCAGCAGAGTCCGCATTCTTCAGATAAGAATTCCCTTTGTCTATTGAATGTGCACATATTGGGTATATGGCAGTTCATAAAATTCCGGACCATAAGCAGCTATAGCCAGACCTGCTGGAGAGGACTGCACCTTCTCTAAAGGGAATGAACTTCAACCTGGATTCAGGAACTGAATAGAGTAGAAAGAATACATTGTATGTATGAAAAGAAAAGCTTAGGCCAAAGGGGTAGAGTGTGATGGAGACTATGTTGTTTTCCAATATCTATTTCCTCTTCTCTCTCAAATTAATTTTTAGCTGGTACCTGGCTACCCTAAATAAAGACGTGCTGTCCAGTTTCCCTTGCAGGTATGTACAGACTCGTGACCAAGTTCTGGCCAGTGGGATGTGACCAGAAGTGATCTACGCAACTCTCCTTCCTCCTTTCTCTCACATAACCTAGTAGGATATAAGGATCTACAAGAAGAGTTAGTAGAAAATAATTTTCTGAAACGGTAAGAAAAAATGGTCAGAGATCTACATGCACTGGTAATCTTGAAGAAAGTTACAAAACGGCCCACTTGTCTTTAAGTTTTATTCAAAGTACTATAGAAAATAAGGAAAATGAAAATAAAGTTACTACTCTTAGCAATAAAATTGTTTAAGCCAGGTCTTCCAAATATGCCACAAACAATGGTTTCCCAGTAGTGACTTTACTCTCCCTGATACCACCCAAGATTGCACTCTTGGACTGCAGTTCTGACTCCAGACTGAACTTTCAGATTTCACCAAGCACAAGTTCACTGCTAGTGACCAGGAGGGAAACGACTTGATGGGGGAAGAGGGAGAGGGTTGTATATAAAATCAATTCCAGATATATTCTTCAAACCAGTCCAAAGCTCCCAAGATGATTCTGATACAGTCTTCCAGTTGAGAACCACGAGCCGACAGTTTTCCAAAGCAAGCCTTAGTTCTAAGCTACTAGACTGTTGACAGGATTCAAACTGAGCTGGCGTTGTGAGGAAAACTGGCAAACAAGATCACAATAGTTGTGCACTAGCACACACTCGCATGATCTCAAGTGCAGAAAGGATTGTTAAACTTGTCCTGCACATGTATACATCCCTTATGGAACAGTGTTTAGCCAAGGGTGGCCGTGGACCTCCTGCTAGACAATGATGGAGGGTGCCTGATAACATACATAATCCTGAACCTCATCTCAGATCACTGAACTAGAACTGTGGGGAAAGAGAGGGAGGGATACTGGGAACTGGCATTTTAAACATTTAAATCACTTTGCATATTTAAGTCTGAGAACAATTGCCATATAAAATTCTGGACACTCAATCTGCAAGATGAAATAAAATATCTATAGTCTTACCTAAGTCAAGGAATTAACAATCTAGTTGGCCAAAATACCTTCCCTAAAGAAACTCCATTGCCGTCCAAAGAGTAGAGAGAGAAATGAGGTTTACTCTAAATGCCCCCTGGGGGGGGAAGAGGAAGCTATGGAGGTTTCAGTAGGTAATGCAAGATTCAAAGGTCAGGTGTTCAGATGATGAAGGGATCTTCAACGTTAATCTAATAACTGGATCAAAGATGCCAAATGATTTTCCTCTAATCATCAATTTTGTATTCATCTTCTACTCTATGACGATAAAGACATAATAACTTTATAGAGTATAAACCACATGTCCCTTGAACATGAGCGTGCAACAGAGGTTCTAAGAACTGATATTCATGACTGCTAACCCATTAAAACCACCAGTAGTAATATGGTTCTAAGTTTAACCAAGAGTTTTAAACCCTGAAAATTTTTTTCCTTTTTTTTACTTCAGCATATTATGGGGGTACAAATGTTAAGGTTACTATATTGCCCATGCCACCCCTCCCCCCTCGAGTCAGAGCTTCAAGCGTGACCATCCCCCAAACGTTGCACATCTCACTCATTATGTTAAACCCTGAAATTAAAAATAACAGGCTAGCAAGGTAGAGGAGACAAATACATAATAAATATTAATACCAGGCCGCCGTCCAAGACAGCAAACTAACTGCCCTCTTCTCCCAAGCAGCACGGTCTTGGACCCCACGCCTGCTCACACTGAAGCCTCATCCCAGATGGCCCTGGAAATGTATCCTAGAGTCAACTCCAGGAGCTGGGAGGCTTCTGGAATTTAACTTTTCCCACAGTCCCGCCTCCGCAAAGAGCGAGGTCCCCACGTGTTCACAACCCAAGAACAGAAAAGACAATTGCTTCCCAAACCAGGCCCGAGCTAGCAAGACGCGAGACCGTCCAGGCCAGGAACTCAAGGGTCCCCAACTCCAGAGGGTGGAAGTGGGGTGACCCGACGCAGACAACACCCACGCCCGCCTGGCCGTGCTGGGCCCTCCTCCTCTTCCTCCCCACGGCCGCGCACGCACAGCGCGGCCCCCATCCCCGACCCCGACGACCCCCACCCCGGCAGCGCCCCACGGCACGCCGGGCAGGGAGGCTGCCGCGTCCCAGCCCCCACGCCACCGCCCGGGCCCCGTCCCCGACCTGGGGGGCGCGCCGGGCTGGCCCGGGGCTCCCGGCCCTCGGGCTTCCTCGGCCGGTAGCCGTAGACGCCGCGCTCGGTCTGGTAGCCGCGCCAGAGCAGGAGACGGGGAGCCCGGCCAAGCCCACGTCGTGCTGCCGTCACCGCGGCCGAGGCCATGTCCGCTCTGGCCCCCGGGGACAGCAGCGGAGGACTGGGGGGCGGCGGCCGTCGCGGAGAGCTCTGGGGGTCGGGCGCGGACAGGGGGATCCCCAGCGCGCCGCTAGGGAGGCCGGAGCCCCGCCCCCGGACGACACCCCCGCGCCTGATTGGCCGAGGGGCCGGTCCCTCGGAGCCAATCCGGGCAGCGGCCCTTGCGGCGAAGCCACGCCCCTCGTCGGGGCGGGACCCGAGGGCGGTGCCAGGGGCCGAGCGGCCCGGGCTTTGGGCTACGCGGGACGTGAGGGCGCCGCGGAGCGTTATCCGCTTTCTCCTAAAAAACTACAGATGGCTGTGGAGCTCACGGTTTCCCGCCACGAGTGTTCGCCCGTCACCCCTGAGGGCTGGAAGCCTCAGAACCCGACCACGCAGACCCAGTCTATGATAGAAAGTGTCTGCGACTGAGACCGAGGGACGCAGAAAGTAAAGGTAAATTGGGGTAGCTAGAAAATCAAAATTCCCGGGTTTTTTCCCTTTAGAAACATTGAGAGAGAAAGAAGCAGCTAGGGGAGAGGGAGCATGGAAGAAAGGGTTAGAACAGAAGTCAAAAGAAATTGGATACAGCAAATCATCACAAAAAAATGAAAAAAATTTAAAATATTTTTTTTAAATAAAAAAATAATTGGACATGGACATGGACGGTTACAGCAGTGGAGAGATAGTCGAGATATTTGAGAGTCTCGGTTGGTCTATCTCTGAGTTTCCCAAATGATTTTATTCCATGTCGTACCTTTAAGTTTGCCAGTATGGACAGAAGGGAGGTAAGGGGGTCTGCCTTCTTCCCTGGGCAATCATGCTTCATTCCAGCCGGTTGTGCAGCTATATCCCAAACTCCAAAGAATGTTATACATACCAGCCCCAGATATCCTCCTTTCTCATTCATGCAGCCAATATTCCCACAAAACACTCCGCTAGGCTACAAAGATTAACAAGATACAGTGTCTGCCATTAGTCAGCTCCCAGTCTAGCCCTAGACTGAACCTTACACACACAGTATGACAGCCTTTAACACTGTGGAGGCCGAGCGGGCGGATTGCTCAAGGTCGGAGTTCAAACCCAGCCTGAGCAAGAGCGAGACCCGTCTTCTACTATAAACAGAAAGAAATTAATTGGCCAACTGATATATATATAAAAAAATTACCGGGCATAGTGGCGCATGCCTGTAGTCCCAGCTACTCGGGAGGCTGAGGCAGCAGGATTACTTGAGCCCAGGAGTTGAGGTTGCTGTGAGCTAGGCTGACGCCACGGCACTCACTCTAGCCTGGACAACAAAGTGAGACTCTGTCTCAAAAAAAAAAAAAAAGAAGCTGTTACAGCCCAACCAGGTTGTATTGCCCGCAGCTACACAGATAAGAGCCAATATCCTGAGACAGCTGGGTTGCAGTGCGTTTAATATCACAGAACATAAAGCAAGGAGACAGGAGGAATTTCTCAAATCAATCTACCTGAGAATTTGGAGAAAGGGTTTTTAAAGATAGTTTGGTGAGCAAAGGGTAGGCAGTTGGGTCTGCTCATTGGCTGGGTTGTTGGAGGAATCATAGGAGTATAGAGATTATCTTCTTGTGCTGAGTCAGTTCCTCAGTATGGGTGACTGGTCTGAGTGGAACAACTGACCTACTAGAATGAGAGCCTGGAGATAACTCAAAAACTAGCCTTAGTAGCATTCTGGGAGGCCGAGTGGGCAGATCTCTCAAGGTCAGGAGTTCCAGACCAGCTGAGCAAAAGCAAGACCCTGTCTCTCCTAAAATAGAAAGAAATTAATTGGCCAACTAAATATACAGAAAAAATTAGCCGGCATGGTGGCGCATGCCTATAGTCCCAGCTACTCGGGAGGCTGAAGCAGAAGGATTGCTTGAGCCCAGGAGTTTGAGTTGCTGTGAGCTAAGCTGACGCCATGGCACTCTAGCCAGGGCAACAGAGTGAGACGTGTCCAAAAAAAAAAAAAAAAAAAAAACCTATGGGGGAGGGGAAGAGAATGGGCATTTATTGAAACCTTAAAATCTGTATTCCATAATATGCCGAAATAAAAAAACCTAGCCTTAGGTTCACAAGGGTGATGCTATCTGTGTAGAAAGTTAAGAATCTTTATGACCATCAGCCACATAACTCCTTAGTAGCAATTATAGGAAGCAAATTAGGGGACAATGGCTAGTTATTATTATTGTTTTAACTATGTCTGGCATTTGCAGAGTTTAGGCCCCTACCACAGTTCTTACCTTGCACCCTTCATTAATTTATATAGGGCAGTTTGAAAGTTTCACCTCTCTGCTGGTAAAAATCCTTCTCAACTTAAATGAGGCAATCTTTGTTTCATCAAATGTTAAGAGAAAATCTTGTGATACAGGGATCAAAAAGACGGGAGATGGCTGGGCACGGTGGCTTACGCCTGTAATCTAGCACTCTGGGAGCCGAGGTGTGCGGATGCTTGAGGTCAGGAGTTCGAGAACCAGCCTGAGCAAGAAGCGAGACCGTCTCTACTATAAATAGAAAGAAATTAATTGGCCAACTAATATATAGAAAAAATTAGCCGGACATGGTGGCGCATGCCTGTAGTCCCCAGCTACTTGGGAGGCTGAGGCAGCAGGATTGCTTGAGCCCAGAAGTTTGAGGTTGCTGTGAGCTAGCTGACGCCACGGCACTCATCTAGCCTGGCCAACAAAAGCAGGACTCTGTCTCAAAAAAAAAGACAGGGAGAGGCATTTTGATTGAGCATTTGCTACTTTACATTTGTAATTTTAAGCACCAATAATCTCCATTTCATAGAAATGAGTCACTGAAAGATCAAATACATTTACTCAAGATCACCAAAACTAGTAGTAGGCCGGCGCTGTGGCTCACGCCTGTAATCCTAGCTCTTGGGACCGAGGTGGGCGGATTGCTCAAGGTCAGGAGTTCAAAACCAGCCTGAGCAAGAGCAAGACCCCGTCTCTACTATAAATAGAAAGAAATTAATTGGCCAACTGATATATATATAAAACAAAAAAAAAAATAAGCCGGCATGGTGGCGCAATGCCTGTAATCCCAGCTACCGCGGGAGGCTGAAGGCAGAGATCACTCGAGCCCAGGAGTTTGAGGTTGCTGTGAGCTAGGCCGACGCCACGGCACTCACCCTAGCCTGGCAACAAAGTGAGACTCTGTCTCAAAAAAAAAAAAAAAAAAAACCAGTAAGTATATACCTAGTATTCTACACAAGTCTGACTCCAAAAACCCACCGCTCTTTCTGCTGTAGCCACTGCCTCATGTAAGCTTTTGCATAGACTGAAAATGCTACACCATTTCATTTCCAAAGAAGATGTCAAGCTAGCCACCAAAAGCCTTTTGATATGGAGACATCATTGCAATCTCTAACTATAAAAAATACATTGTTCTTAAGAGGCCATCATTTTAGATTCTGTTGACAATTCAAACTTCCATGCTTTCTGAAAATACATTCAAAATTCTCAAAATGAATTGTTGAAGAAAATTTCCAAAATTGTTCCTTGTTCTCCTTTTTGCTTGCTGCAATTGACAGAACTATCCTGTATGAAAAAAAAAAAAAAAAGAAACTACTACTATTTTTTTATAGAGACCTGCATGGTACATCTCTCACTTAAAACCTAGCTATAATGTGGCTGCTTTACAGAAGAAAGGAAGGCAAGGGAAAGAGATTACAATTACACAGCAAACCCTCAGTTTAAGGAAAAAAAAATCATCATGTGAGGCAAACAGTCTCATCACAAGCCTCTGCCCCCTGACCTCAGGAGCTGGAAGTGTGCTATTCTGTGACCCATCCAGCTTCAGTCTTTTAGAACCTGATGTTTAATTTACAAATTTAAGCTGTTTTAAGCTACTGTTTCTTAAACACCCACTTCTTCATGGTGTATCTCTGGTAGAAATTTTTCAAACAGTTTTCCTCCTCTCTACTTAATAGTCTCTAAAATAAATGTGTTGAGATGTGCTCTTCAACAAGAAACATTTAAACAAATGTAAATATTAAATATATCAACATAAAAGTACTTACTACAAGACCATATTGGAATTTCTCATGGAACTTTAAGATTGAAAATCAGTTTACAAACCTGGCTTTCTCTTAATTCCACCAAAATAGAAGTGAAACAGTGTGAGATTACTCTCTTTGTCTTAAGCTTTTAATAAATATAATTAGTCAGAAAAGCAAATAAATCATAATACTATAAAGTACTTTAGAACAGTGTTGGAAAATAGTGAAAGTCCAATAAATGAGACTACAATAGAATGCAGAAGATAGATGATAAATAAGCAAAGAAAAAGTTAAATGCTTAGAAATAATGTTACAAAGGAAATAAACAAGGTAATATATAGAGTAGTGGAGAGAGGGAATTGGCTATTTTAGAGCAGTTAGGAAGACCCACTTTACTGATGCAAAATTGAGCAAAACCTGGAGAATTAGAAAGTCTAGTGTCCATCTACAGATTCCAAATGAGCAGTTGGAGCACAAGGAAGGAGGGTCTGGTCTAAAGGTGAAAACTTTGCATCAACAATACATCAACATAGTGTTTAAAGCCATAAGAATAGAGGAGGTCACCAAAGAAAATGTAGCAAGAGAAGAAAGTCCAGGACTCAGCCTAGGAAACTTACAATAAAAGTCTCTAAAAGGAGACTGAGGCCAGGTGTGGGGCTCACGCTTGTAATCCTAGCATTTGGGAGGCCCATTTGTAGGTATTTGGATATTAATGTGTATGTAGTGCTACTGCACAGATATATGCATTATAACACACCCGAATTAGAAAATATAAGAAAATACAAGGTCTAATATTTTTGCATAAATGGTTGGATCCTCTTGCATTCTCCTTTCTGCCAAGCTACTTTGGAAGCCACTGTTTCCAGGGTAAAGTCAGAGTCCTTAGAAGGAACTCTGTTTTGTTTTGTTTTTTTTTTGAGACAGAGTTTCTTCTGTTGGTGGTGCTAGAGTGCCGGCCTGGGTCAGCCTAGCTCACAGCAACCTCAAACTCCTGGGCTCAAAGGATCCTTCTGCCTCAGCCTCCTGGAGTAGCTAGGACTACAGGCATGCGCCACCCATGCTCAGCTAATTTTCTATATTTTTAGTTGTCCAGCTAA